TGCTCCTTCTTTCCTATCAAACGTCTATCGTCCGTATTTCTCCTTCTTTTTTTTTTTCTTTTTCTTGTTACTCTCTTGTAACACCTCTAATCATCAGCACTTATGTGACCTTATTGTGTTGCAAGTGCCATAAAACCCCTATTAACACTAAACTAAAGAGAGTGCTCCTCACCCGAGCCACCGCACCCTAAATAATAATAACAATATTTTTATATGAGGCAGACCAGTCAAACCAAAGATTCTCTTCTTTGGTCAACCTATGTCTGCCCAGAATAATTGCTGTGTCCTGTTTTCTGCGGCTGCGTTTATCTGGAGCAATACTGTTCCTGTGTTTGGCGAAGTTTGTTTTTGCTGATTTGTATGTATGGGAACTTATATTTTGATTTGGAAGAAACTCTTCTGGCGAGTTAACGGGGTGGGGGGGGTGTTTGTTTTGTATTGTTGTTGTTGTTGTTTTTTTTGGGGGGGGGTTGTTTTGTTTGGGTATTGTTGTTTTTGTGGGGGGTTTTATTGTATTTTTTTAGGGGGAGGGGTTCCAACGAGAATTCCAGGTCGTTAACATACAAGCTTCACATACCGTTTGCTATGCTTGTAAAAAAAAAAGCAAATACAATCATAGCCATAACAAATAATCTTTGAGCCCAATCGTTTTGCCACTATAGAACCACCAATCAACCGGAGAAGAGATAGTTTTGATAATACATGTAGTGAGAGTGACTGGATTTAAACTCAAGAAGCGCAGTCCACTCTAAAATAATTAGCATTCACGTCAAAACCTGTACAGTCCCTCTTCAATATTACTTCTACTATCTAGACCTTGTTGTCCTGCTGCAGTACAATACTCAAGTCTGATTTGCTTCTATCTTTTTAAAGTAAAGTATTTCCCCGTTATTCGGCAATTACCTGTCCCTTTATGTTCACACATTGAAATCCTCAATAGTCAAAAGGCAATATCCAATGAAATTAGTTTTAATATAGCCTCTTTGTTTTAGGTTGCCATGAAAAACTTGCAAGCACGAGTGGGAATTGAGTATATGCCTACAGGATAGATTCTATAAACACATCCACCTTCACAACACACTGTATTAGAAGCATAGCATTCCCAACAAACCAGGTCTGTGGCTGGTTGGCCGGTGCTCTGGTGTGGTTTGCTCACTTCTTTCCTCTCAAACATCTATCGTCCTGATTTCTCCTACTTCTCTTCTGTGTTTGTTACTCTCTTGTAACATCTCTAATCTTCGGCACTTATATGACCTTATTGTGTTGCAAGCGCCGTAAAAATTCTAACCAAAACAAACAAAAAAGCCTATTTCATAAATGGCATTTACTCTATGGGGTCGAAGAGGGGGGGGGGGGGTGGGGTGGAACAAATTGTAATGTAGTAGTAGCAGTGTCACAGTTTTAGCAATTTCAAGTTAAAGATTTGTCATCGTAGAATTTCGCAAACATACCAGTTTGAGACACTTCAGACATGCTTGGACACAAAGTTAAAGAAAAGATCCATTAATAGTCCGTAATAAAACAATCATTAAATCCTATCTTTTTCCACTTTGGAGTTAGCAACTAGAGAGTAGACTTTTAAGTTAGATATAGCTCTAGATCAACATTTAGAGTTTTGTTTGAGAAGCAACGTCTAATCTACTACAAACTTAAACATAAGTTAAGGACCACCTTGACAGACAGCCCTCATTTTTTTTTAATCCGAAAGAAAAGACAGCAAGGAATGTTTTAACATTTTGGCTCTAAAAGTGTTAATGAGTTAAAGGGGCAAACGACCACGTGCAGTACGGAAATCCTCGAGGAATTTTAGACAAATTTGCTGTTTTTTATCGACTTGTGTGCGGCACCATTGACATTCCTCAGTTACAATTTCTGGTGCACATGATAAACGGACGTATGGTCTCGAACTGTGCTCACTTTGGTGGCAATATAAGCAGCCGTTTGCGCAAAACCCAGTGTCGCATCAACATTTAGTGTTTTGTTTGAGAAGCAACGTCTAATCTACTACAGACTTCAACACAGTTGAAGCAAGACGAAAGCTGAGAGACTTTGGTCGTTCCAGGGCTATGGCATGGCTGCATGATGGAGTTGGAGCCCGAGAAGTTGCCAGAAGGCTTGCAGTATCACACTCTGTCATTGTCCGCATGAGGCAGCGCCATCAAGCCAATGGATCGGCCCAAGAACGCCCACCTGCAGTTTGACCCAGGAAGACCACTGAGAGATAGGATCGATTTGTCTGCATGCAGGCCTTGCGGCAGAGGACGACAGCCAACAGCATCAGGCATCATCTGTGTGCTGCTACGAACTTGGTGGTGAGCTCCCAGGCCATTCGGAGTCCAATACAGAAACCCAGGCTGACCGCAGAACTCCCGGCAAGTCGTCTTGCTTGGTGCAGGGCCCATGAACCATGGACACAAGCCCAATGGGGCCATGTGTTGTTCATAAATGAGTCATGATTCATGGTCAACCCAAAAGATGGACGTGTGAGTGTGTGGTGGCGTCCACATCAGGCAAGCAGGGATCACAAGACTGCCTTGGCCCGAAAACAGTCGCGATTTCAACCCCATTGGGAATGTGTGGTGTGAACTTGGCTGGAGAGTCCAGCAGCACCAGCCACCACCAGCTAACCGACAAGAGCTGCTACAGATCCTGCAGCAGGAGTGGGCTAACCTTCCCCAGGCCTTCATTGCCAAGACCATCAACATCATGAGGCGACGCTGCCTTGATTGCACTGCTCGGCTTGGTGGGTATTCCCGTTTTTTAGCGGACGGTCATGGACACTAATTCCTGGATTTTTCTTTTGAGGGGTACTGTTGTTCCGAGCGACATATTGCCTAAGTTCGTGACGTCATCATTCTGAAATTGAATTGATTTTGTTAAGAAATGATTCCATTAACTATCTTTTAAATTTCTAATGTTTTGCTTTTCACCAGTTAGTGCTGTGAGAGTGTTTGCAAGTGGTCGTTAATTTTTGTTGAAGTCTTCATATTTAACGTAAAAATATCTTTTTGTCATGTCGCAGAGCACACCTAAATTCTGAGTTGACTCCTTATACTTTCTGAGTAGTTTTCCAGTTACTGTTATTGTTCTGCGCAATTTACCGGTTGGCGTAATCTTACGCTGTGCGTTTTAACGATCGTATAATTGCGCGACAATCTTAAGATTGCGCGGCGCGTTTTAACGATCCTATAATATTGTATCATTCTTGTGAGCTCTCCAGTTTCATACGTTAATTTTGATTTTGATTTTATTTTAAATTTTCATATTTTTACACTTTTGAAACTATGTATTAATGTTCCTTGATGTGAAAAAAAGAATAAAGATGGAATTGAATTTTTTTTTAGCATTTCAAAAATATAAAAATATAACCGCACTCTTAAGATTGCTGCGCAATTACAGGATCGCTAAGACGCGCAGCGCAATCCCAAGAGAGTTTTATTCGAGTATCTCGGGGTTTCTGCTTAAATGTTATATATCTCTAAGCCTGGGTTGGCTATGACAAGCAGGGTCGGACGCCCGCCCCCTAAATGATCTAAAGTGTGTCAATTGGGGGCGTAAAAATACCTACTTTTTCTTTGAATGAAGCAAAGTAGAGGTCAGTTCGAAACAGTGTGTACTAGCGTGGTCATTAATCAATAACACTTGACCCGGTTAGAACATGCAGAATACGTCCACTTGACAACAGGTCATCTATTGTAACAGAGCACTGAACCAGCGGTAAAGTATATCTTAAAGGGGACACACAAGTGGCAAAATGGAAAAAACACCAAAGTAACGTAATTTGAGAGGCTGCGCCTCTCGCTTGTACGTGTATGCAGTATGGAGGGATTGTATTTAGACACCCCCCCCCCCTTTTTTACACACACACAAACACTTGCACAAACGTACAAATACCGGTACTTTACTTTTATCCGCCGCTTATACCTTTTTGGGTGTCACGGGAAGAAAGAGAGGTCTCTCTGCCACCAGCCGGAGAGCTTGGGTCAGGGGGTGCCATGAGTTGTTAGTGTTAGTGTTTCCATGACTCCATCTCTCCAAGTCTTTTTCGGTCGCCCTCTAGCATTGTTGCCATTGAATTTTTTTTGTGGGCATGTTGTGCTGGATGGTGTGTTGGTAATCGCATGAGATGTCGGAACTATTTGATTCTTTGATGTTGGACGTGATGCATGATATCTTTTGTGCCCACCATTTCTCTGACTACTGAGTTTCTAATTTTGTCTCGCCTGGTCTTGTTTACTGCTTTTCGAAGACATCGCATTTCACATATTGTAATTCGTTGAGTCAATGTCTTGTTCGTGGTCCATGTTTGGCATTGATAGGTGAGTGTTGGATTGAATATATATAATTTAATATACATACATACAAATTATACAAACACACACACACACACACACACAACACACAACACACACACACACACACACACACACACACACACACACACACACACACAAACACACACACACACACACACACACACACATACACACCGATCCAACCAACCCTCTAGTTGCAGTCAAGTTGCAAGCGCCGAAATACTTTTACGAAATTGAAACTGAAACCCTCTTGTCTCTTGCCTTGGAAGAAATTTGACTGTGAATAGTGTGAAGTCATTTCAGAGTGCGTGTCCTGGGTCCTGGTTGGGGTCACCGGTCAATGAGAATCTGTCCTGAAAAAAACACACAAAAGCAAGTGACAATCTGTCCCTTAACAACTAGCACACACCGGTCAGTGAGTAGCTTGGCCCCTAAACAACTCACACCTTGACCACTCGATAAGGGTGTCTGGTCCCGCAGCTGTCCGAGTCTGGTGGAAGTAACAAGCTGCGGGTCAAAACTGGGTGACCAGCAGTTGGTCAAAACTGGGTGACCAGCAGTTAACCTCTTTTTGTCCATGGCGAGTTTTTAACAATGTTATGCTATCTGTGTCATTGGCCAGAGATGACCGTTTCTTTCACAAAATCGAGCGACCCTTGTTTTTTTGTTTCGAGAAACAATGGCCTGTTTGGAGACAGATGGCGCAAAGGTAGCTTATTGGGCTTTGACAATTTCCCGCTTCCAAGGAATATCTGATTTATCTTACTTCTCTTACACAGTATCTTTTTATTGGTTTTGCTCGTTCTGTTTGTCAAGATTTCTCCCTAAACTAAATAATATATTTGTCCCAACATTAAATGATAGTTTGTTTTCTCCCAACATTAAAGAATAGTTTCCTCTCAACATTAAATAATTTTGTCTCAAAATTAAATAACAGTTTTCGAGCGAGCGTGTATCTCTTTTACCACAAAAAAACATTGAGAAAAAATATATTTCAATTTTGAGACAAATAGTGATTTATAACCTATGGTGGAAAACAACATCCTGTAACGCATTCCTTTTCCGACATTGTCGCGCAAAACTCCATCACAATTTCCATGGACCTACATCCAAATGTATTTATTTGTCGCAACAACAGTCAAGCTCTGGTAAAGACCAAAGACACATGATAGTTTGGGCAGGGAATCAAAACATCAATTTTTTCACACAGCATGACCAGGCTAGTTGCATTGCCACGGGCTTTCTGGTTTGACACATGATGCGTGTTTGTATAACAGTACACGTATCTTGAGGTTCACCTGCATCTGCAAAGAACTGATTAGATCCTACACCTTTGCTCACAAAAGACGTGAAATTGATTCTGAAGTTGGGAAGACCTTCGATAAAGGCTGTTTCCAAACGAAAAGTAAATCTGATTATTCCTTTTCTTGAGAAAT